AAAATGCCAAACGGTTTAATTTTTATCTTATACACTTTGTAACTATTTTTGGGTGCACTTTTGTAAATAGGTAAGTACGGTTTAATCGACCTATTTTTGACCCAAGAATATGTGGTATAATTTATGACCAATCTTTTTGAAACACCCTGTATATTTGACTACCAATGTAAATTAGCAGTTGCTAAATAAATGATTAATATATATAATTTGTAATTTTTTGCTTTATTTAGAAACAAAGCTCACTAGGGGTCTACTTTAACACAATAATATTTTTGCGACTATAGGTTATAGCAACTTATGGCATCAAAATAATTTTTGTGTTAAAGTAGATCCATAGACAGCAATATAATTTACAAAGGCCTTCTTTCAACATACAAATAAATGACAACTTTATAATTAAAATGAAAAACAACAAAATACCCGGTATTATAATTGATCAAAATTTGAAATTGATTGATCACGTTACGTCATTAACAACCAAAGTTAGAAGATTCATTTTTAAATTTTATGAATTGAGGAAACTTGACTAAGAGTTTACTAATTATTATTTACAATTCGCTGGTTGAATCTATTTTGCGATATGGTATAATGTGGACTATATGATATTGCACTTCAACCTCTTAATGTAATCCAAAATTGTATAATTAAAATTATCTACAAAAAACCAGCATTATATCCTACCTCTTTTTTATATAATAAAAAAGTGCTTTGTATAAGAACATTATATTATCTGTCTTGCTGTACCTTTATTTATGGAAAGCCTGAATTGAGATACACTACAAATTATTTGCAATAAATATAAGAAGCATACAAACATTTTTAAATAATTTGACATTTAAGAGCCATTCACAGTTGACATCTTGATACTTGACAGGCATAGCCAAGTACTATTCTGATTTTTGCCAAATAAAATGGCCGGTTAATTATTCTATGGGGTTGCGACAGAGAGTCAGTAAATTTGATGAAGTTATTTTTGTGGCTAGGGGCGAAATAGTAGTAAGCTTAAGTTAGCACCACCATAAAAAAGTCATTTTTAAGAAACTGCTTATATATTTTTCATAAATTGGCAGGCTTGGCGACTAATTTCGAATAAAAATAGCCTCCAAAATGGCTATGGTTGCAAGTATGAAGGTCGCAACCCGTCTTAGAAATCTCACCTTTTCAATCAACAGCTGTTGTTTGACAGGTCGTTGGAGAATGTTTACAATGTATGCAATGTTAAGAATGTTAGGAATGTTAGAGGTTAGGAATGTTTGGAATTCGTAAAATTAGTCACATAAGAAATGCATAGGCAGATTTTAAGAAAATTGATATTAAAGTAGTTAGAATGAACCGAAAATTCTAAAAATCAATAGGGTTCTAAGTTATAAGTAATTATTCAAGAAAATCAAACCCGCAAGTCAATCTGAACTTTCGTTCTTGAGTTATCGTGCCGGCATACATACACACAGACGACCAGACTTTTTTTTGCATTTTCGAAAATGATCGGAAACGTGAAAAAAAGTTTTAAAAAGTACGGGTAAGAAAATTTTTTCGTCTGCACAAATGCAATACTGAGGCCTCATAGGAAGGGCCTCAATAATCTTACTAAGTTTCAAACATACTAGTTTGTTTTCTCTTTGAAAACCTGATAATGGCTTATGGCCTAAACCAGTAGTCATATTTTTTCAATGAAAATTGCTTTATGTAAGATTGATTTTGTGTTACTTTGGTACTATATAAGATGACCAGATTTGAAGAGTTGGAGTCCTTCGATTATTTACTTATTACCACCAAGGAACAATACAAACAAATTAACTAAACTGAGTAGATACTTTTGACTGGAATTTTTTTTAGGTAGTCGGAAATCAGAATGTGTTATCGTTGTCTTAGTAATTAACAATTTGAATCAGGTACCATATACAAAATATTAGAATGATATAACAAAATAATCAATAAAAGTTAAAACAACACTTAAATTTACTCTTATACAATAAGTAATAAAGTAAGTATCTTTAACTAAATAAGCTACATATTTTGGATTTTATGGAGTTTAATTTAATTTGGCGGACTCTATGGCACCGTAGTCTAGCATAAGTTGAATCGAAGTAAACTTTCAACTGGGAACTGAATGTTTCTATACACTCTTAAAATTAATCAGTGTCTATTCGTTGATAGTGTCATTGTCAGTGTCAAGTTTACGACTATCTAAATCAGTAATCGATTTGCTACTGTAAAACAGCTTATACCCAATTTAAAACAGTGAGATTTGCAGTGTTTTTCACTGATTTGTTTTAAGGAGGTCCTTTCGCCACCAATGTTAAATAAAAAATATTAGAATATGACTAAAATTAATTTTTTCTAATAGTTGAAGTCCTTATTTATCTAATAGTAAACTTTTAACTATACCTTACCGTGCAAATTTTTGAGAAAAAAAAATTTAAAAATGTGTGTATTTGTACAGTGTCTTACGAGAAAGTAAGACTTCAACAACAATTTTTGAATTATAATTAAGTATACTATTATTTATTGATTAGATGGAGTAGAAAAAAACTAAAAATAAGGTTTTTAAAATATTTAGGTTTTGTTTTTTACAATAAAATGTATAGGTTACCGTGGAATTTATTGAGAAATTAATATTAAAAAATCATAAAACATTTTCAACTAGGTTACTTGAATTTTTTTTTTAATATTAATTTCTCAATAAAATCCACGGTAACATATATTTTATTGTAAAAAACAAAACTTAAATATTTCAAAAACCTTATTTTTAGTTTTTTTCTACTCCATCTAATCAATAAATAATAGTATAATTCGAGAATTGTTGTTGAGGTCTTACTTTCTCGTAAGACACTGTACAAATACTCGCATTAAAAAAAAAAAATCTCAAAAATTTGCACGGTAAGGTATAGTTAAAAGTTCACTATTAGATAAATAAGGACTTCAACTATTAGAGAAAAAAAAATAAATTTTAGTCATAATCTAATATTTTTTATTTAACATTGGTGGCGAAAGGGGTGGCGAAAGGACCTCCTTAAGAGTATTTTTCTAATGTCTTGATTGTAATATTTATCATCTGTGGTTGAGCTTTATTTATTTATTTTGACTAGGTACATTAAATTGCAACTTTCTAAGGGTACCTGGCATTCTGGAGGTGGCCGTGCCCCTATACAGATACGCCAATTCTTTTGACCTAAAAGTAGCTCCTAGAAACATAGATTTTGTAATACTCTTGAAGAACTGAGGCTGTCCCATTAGTGTGTAATTTTTTAATATTAAAATTTGTGGTATAGACGAGCAAAAAAATTTAAAATAAAAGTTATATAAATTTGAAAAATACATGTTTTAAAACTATTTTTGGTTGTACAGGGTGTTGCATTTTTGCCTGGCAAATAAAAATATAAGTTTTTAAATAGAACACGCTGTATTTTATTTTATTCTTAGAAAGGTTTGTTATACTGTATTCAACCCTAGAACGTTTTTAAAAAACATTTCAGTTTTGCCAAGCAATTAATTTTTTTTTTTAAATTAGACAATGATGCATAATTTAGGTAGGTTTACATTTATTTCAATAATATTTAAAATACAAACCTATAAGATACTAATCTAACGAATAGTGGTGATAGAACTGGTTTATTTTATACAGAGTGTTTTGAAACTTGTCTTAAATATGGCTAATTTTAAGTTCAATTTACTTAATTGTTTTAAATGCAACACCCTATATATTATTTTAGCACAAAATTCCGTATAAATTTTCCTATACCACGATACCAATATGTTAGCCAATAACACACATACAGGGTGTCCTGATCGATAGCTGTTTTATTATTAACAATACAAAGAAATTTTTAATATAAAAGTTGTATGACCATATATAAAAAATATTACAAATATACAGGGTGGTCCAAAAATGAGGTGCTTAATGGATTGTTTCATCGTCAATTAATTTTAATTGTCTTCACTCATTTGCTATATTGTATATAGGGTGTGTAGAAACTTGAGGTTACGATTTTCTCATTTTTTAAATGGAATACCCTGTATTTATTATTAAGTGGTATAACATATAGGGTATTCCATTTAAAAAAATTGGGAATATCGTTACCTTGCATTTTAACACACCCTATATAAAAGATAGCAAATAAATCAAGTCTACTAAAATTGTTCGACGATGTGAAAACAATCAAATATGTATAACTAACTGCAGGATGTTTGGCTTTAAAAAAGTGTAGATTTGGTCAGAACCTCGTTTTTGAACCACCCTGTATATTTGGGAATAATTGGTAAATATGGTCATACAACTTTAATATTAAAAATTTCTTAGTATTTCTAATAATAAAACCCACTAATAATAAAACGCACTAATGGGACACCCTGTATAAGTATTATTGGCTCGACGTATTGGTACCGTTATATAGGTAAATTTATAAAGAATTTTATGCTAAAATAATATACAGGGTGTTGAATTTGAAAAAATTGAGTAAATTGAACTTAAAATTAGCCATATTTAAGACATGTTTTAAAATACTTTATGTATATAAAATAAACCAGTTCTATCACCACTATTCATGAGCATAGTATCTTATAAGTCTGTGTAAGAAACAATTTTGAAATCAATGTAAACCTATCTAAATTATGATAATTTAATTTGGGGTCTGCATCATTGTCTAATTTCAAAAAAAATTAATTGCTTGGCTGTATTATTTTTTTAAAAACATATTAGGGTTGAATACAATACCACCAAACAGTTTAAAAAATAAAATAAACATACATTTTTATTTGCCTGGCAAAAACGCAACACCCTGTATTTTTAAATTACGTTTTATTTAATCCATATAACTTTTATTTGAAACTTTTTTGCGTGTCTATACCACAAATTGAAATATTGAACAATTACGCACTAATCAGATCCATACTTCTCAGAATAAATATCTAAGGTCTCAGTTGAAATATAAAGTCAAAGAATGTATTATCTAAAGTTTTAATTTGCTTAAAAAATTACAGAAATGAAAAACATATCTTACCTTCAATTGCATCGTACAATCCATCCTTAGTTGGATCGAACTGTCCACATGGAGGTTCCACACAGTAAGTCTGCCATGGCTGGGCATTCAAACAAACCACAAAACCAGTATCTTGCCATCCTTCGCCAACATGCGCAGGCGCATCGAATTCTGGAATGACTTTAACACCTCGTACTTTAGCATACTCCACAATGTCTTTAATATCGTCGTTAGAATATACTTTTGACGGACTGTATGCGCCTATTTTAGACAGCTGTGGGCGAGATTTGGATACGTATGGAAAGCTGTGTGTATCGGTGATATGCCAATGAAACGCGTTTAATTTTGAAGCACCCATTGCCTTTAGAGTGCGTTTTATAACATCAACGCTTATGTAGTTTCGTGATGTATCCAATACGATACCTCGGTGTGGAAAAGCTGGTTTATCAGTAATGTATCCATTGCTAAAAATAATAAAAACTTTTTTATATACAGTTCTGTTTTTTATTTTTTGCGGTTGATTGCTGTTTATTTCCAGTTTAGAACTTTTATTCATCTCCTTTTAAACCGACCTCTTCTTCCCTTAGATAATCCGTACTTCACTCTATGGTTGCTCTAGATCTAGATATTCTTTACTTTGGTAGACGTTATAAATCGCATAGTGTTTTAAATCACTGGGTATAAGATGGATCTAGAAACCTTTCCCTCTGGCTCTATTATCTGACTTGTGGTATATAATGCAGGATATATCGGTTACAAAATCTTTACACCAAAAGATAGTTTATATTCTCGAATAAACAAATTAACTTATATATTACAAAAGCATAGTTCCTAATTATTGTAAAAAAATAGATTCTATGCTTACTTGGGCATTTGTAGCTCGCTTCTCAGATCATCATAAATGATGAGCTGACTGAGTGTCTGAAGGCCATTACGGGCACCAAAGAATGTTGGGGATGTAATGACTGCTTGCATATTTCCACTGTCAGATTCTTTAATACTCAAAATGTAACTTTCATCTGTGTCTAGTGATAGTTTAGATACAGATGTATTGGCGATATTAAGAGTAACGAAGAGGGGCGTTCCTCCTGAAGATATCTGGGATTTAATTGATGGCTAGAATACAAAATAAAAACACCTAAGTAATACAATAACTAATATATGTAATTATCTTCTAGTCTCATAGTATTAAACACACTTACGTAAATAATATCATCTTTAAATTCTTTAGCAGCCGCAGTGACTAAGTTAGAAATAGCGGTTTCGGAAGAATTGCTTACAACATCAATGCTGTATGCGTTCACTTTAATCAGGAGCGTTCCCACTATAATATTTCCCGTCGGCTTTGGCCACAATGCTCCGAAGTCCGAACAGAAAAGTCTGCATGCCGGTAGGCTAAGGGCAGTTGCTTCTGTATCGTTAGTTATTCTCTTTTTTTGGCATGAGTTTTTTTCACATTCCCAACGCCAAGCGGAATTTAGACCACTGAAACAAGAAAGCAAAAATAGTATAGTTAAGTTAAGAATAGTTCAGAACAATGTTCCAATAACGAATGAATTGAAGCGCTGAGAATAAAAGGGGTATAAGTACACTGTTAAACAAATCTGAGCATAGATGACTACCTAAAGTTCGTATTAGTTTGGTATAAAATATATGATTTTCAGGCTTTGTGCGTCATCTATTAGCGAGTATAAATATTATATATCTGAAAGCAGAAATTTGTTAACGATAAAACGGATCTAAGTACACTTTTACCTATTTTATTCCAACCTTTCTATTATTATTAAACTAACAAATTTTTGGAGCTCGATGTTTGTGCTGTTTTAGTATTATTTTTGTGGTTACCTGTCGTTACCATATTGTATTTATTCAAGTTAGCGTTGAAGTGCATAAAGATTTACTGCTACCTTTCTGAATTACATGGGAAAAGCATGAAAAGCGAAATTTCAGAAGGTAAAAAAAAATTTAGGTTAGGTTTGTGTACAAACTAGTAAAAGATACTTTAAATTCGCGGCTTTTTCGAACACCTGTAACTTTATTAATTTATTGTGTTAAAATGACAAATACCTACTTTAAAGGTAAATTATTTAATAAAATTGGGGTAAATCAAAATTTTTAAGGTATTACATAGCTTTTATCGCGAGCTTTGAGCGCGGCGACCGAATCAAGAAAAAAAAAACGAAACCGTAACGAAAAAAACCTAACATCCCCCACTCCGACCGGCACAGCGGTGCGGCGTTAAACAATATTCAATAATAATAATAATAATAAATAAATAAATAATAAAAAATCGAAAAATCGAAAAATCGAGAGTTAAACTCTTTACACGCATTTCGTCTCTGCTACCGAAAGTGATATCGGGACATGTTATTTTTAAAATTTTTTTTGGAAAACTGTAGTGTATGTGGTATCCTTTCAAAACTGAATAAAAAAAATGGGTAAGCTGGATCGCTGGACGTTCAAGCCCTTTTATCATTTACGATAATTTTAAAATAATTAACATTTTTCAGGTTTGAAAATA